GGGGGGGGGGGTAATAACTGAATGACCCCATGATACTCTGCCTGCAAGCCTGGGGCATCTTATAAAGCAGCTAACTTGCCACAGCTAAGGGACGGGGACTGCTCTAGACTAAGCCAACCACTAGAGACTGGGAGCTAAGAGACACCAGATGCAGACCTCTGATGACCCTGAGCACCTGACGCTACAGCCTCGGTGCTCTTCCACCCCGATAAAATGAGTCACCATGCTTTGTTTCTTCTTTTCACTTTTCCCTCCTACTAGGGCAATCTGAGCTGAGTTTCGATCATTTGCAACTGAGTGTTAACTGATCCATTTGATATCCCCAGTACACTAAACCTGCCAGTTAGGGTGGGATGTCAACTTGACTGGCTTCGAGATCTCCCCAGGGGGTTGCTGGAGCACACTTCTGAGTCTGTCTGGTGTGTCATGGGGGCGTGGCCTTGGGGACTAGGTCTGTCCCTCACCCCTTCCTCTCTGGTGCTGTCCCCTGCCCTGCTTCCTGGCTGCCCTGAGCTGAGCAGCTCTGTGCTGCCCCTCCCTTCCGCCATGATGTTCCTGCCCTGGAGCCAGCTGACAGTGGACGGAATCCCCAGAAGCTGTGAGCTAGGTTACACCTCTCCTCCTTTAAGCAGTGAGTGTTGGTTATTGCGTCCCAGCAGTAGGTACCTTAACACATCTAAGTATACAAGTCTATAAAATGGGGTGCTCAGCCAGGCCTGGTGGTGTGTGCCTATAGCACTGGGCGGCTGAGGCAGGAAGAATGCCATGAGTTCGAGGCTGACCTGGGCTACATAAGGGAGTTCAAGGTCAGCCTGCATGACAGAGAGACCTTGTCTCAAAAAAGAAAAATCATAAAAAGGGATGGTCATCCGCAGGTATTGTGGTAAGTGGTGGGGAGGAGTATCAACAAAGAAATGCTATTTTAATTTTTGTTTCTCTCCAAAGAGATGCAGCACATGTCATGTGTACAACAAACTTTTAGAGGTTCCAAAGCCACTGCTACAGCTACACAGCAATGGCTAAGATGTCTGGAATATGGCAAAGAAAACAAAATGAATTCACGTTCACACATGAAGCCCTAAACACAGTCTGGGATTGGCCAGATAATGAAGAAATGCTGGCTCTCAGCACTTCAGTCCCAAAGAGAACTTGTGGATAAGGTGACCGAGACTCAGAGCAGTGGAGGTCACACAGTGGGGCTGGGCTTGGACCCTGTGCCCCAGGCAGAGCTGCCCGGATGTGGGGATGACTCGACTTTAAAACCACAGGCCGAGGTCTGTCCAGATGCATGGGCTGTAAAGGGAACTCTAGTCTTGAAACAAAATAGGACATGAAAGTGTGATGAATTTCACATGAAGTTTATGGACTCAACCCTTGCAATAAACACATCGTTTATTTTTATACACTTAATGAATCAGACTACGATTACCCCCTTAGGGGCTTAAACGGAAGGGGTGGAATAAAGCCAGTGAGGGCAGTCAGGAAAAACACTGCTTCAAAATAACATATGCAGCATTGGATTGAAAGCCGCCTGTGACCCCATGTGACCAAATCCCTGTGCTCTACCTGGGGGGCGTAGGGACCAATGAAGCCTCAACTGCAAGGTGGCTGTGTCCCTGGGCTGTGACAGAAACATGAGGCTGGGGTTCCTTTCCAGTGGCTGAAGTTGCCTAAGTCCCTAGAGAACCAGTACTTATCCAAGAACCTGAGGCGCTTGCACCTTCTGACCAGAAATACAAAGAGCCGAAGGTTGCACCCTCACTGGGCGTCCCCACCCACCCCTGGGGGTAGATGGGCTTCTGAGGATCTTGCTTTTTCAGCAGACATAAGGTAAGGACAAGGGCCAGCCAGTGTCTTGAGCAAAGTATCTTATGCAGCCTACATGGGAAAGTCCCATCGTGAGACACAGTAGGCAGCACCGGTCTCTGGGTCACACCAGAGAAAGCAGTCTCCACAGCATACACACTTGTGGGTCCAAAGCACCTGAGCCCGGGGCAGGTCCTCTAAAGGGCTCGTTGATAGCTCCCCTGGCTGGACGAGCATAAGCTCCCCTGCCTGACACCTAGCGCTGTGACCATGTGCTGAGCCCCTGCAGACTCAAGCGGCCTTTACGTAACCGTGGATGCTATTCCTGGGACCTGATAAAGTCTAGGACTCACACACTGAGGAGGAGCCCACAGGTTTATTTTTCTTCTTCCTCTTATTCCTGAGGGAGCCTTGATCCTCAGGCTGTCATCTGTCAGAAACCTCAGATCCTCTCTCTTTTTTCTGATGTTAGTTACGAGGGAAAGGCAGGCAGTGAGAGGGTAGAGGAAGCTAGTGCCTTGTGGGCGGGGAGGGACGTGTGGCCTCTGTGTTTTAGAGGCCCATAGATCTTTGGGAAGGGCGCTGCTCCAGACTTCTTAGCTGTCCGCCACAACCTCCTGGGTCCTAGGGCCACTCGCAAGCCCGCATGTGAATATGTCTTCCTGGGGTTGCTTCTTTGACCCTCCCTCCCTTCCTTCCTCCCTCCTTCTGGGTTCTGGTATTATGATAATTTGGGCCTGAAGCCTCTCTCTCTCTCTAAAGTGATATGCGATGTGTAAAGGTGAACTGACTTTTCAGTGTCACATTTCGTTCACCAGGGAACTCGGGTCCCTTCGCAGCATGAGCTAGCGGGTGTACAGGGGAGCTGGGGACAGAGGCAGGGACTACGGAGGGGTGGGGTACATAAAGAGCTCAAGTTTTAAAGCTAGGTACTGCCTGGGCTACTGGTGGCAGTGGAGTTCAAAATGCCACTTCTCCTAAGCTAAGAACAGCTCAGATGGCCTTCCCAGATGGTCTGGCCCTCTCCCTAGGGATATGTCCTAGCTCCAGTTCTTACACTGCCATCTACTGGATTCCTCGCTCAAAGTTAGCAGGCTCCACCTGCCCAATTTACCAAGGTGGGGGAAAAACTTTGGGGCCCAGAGGTTATGCTCCCCTGGCTAGTGGGTCTCCAGTAAAGACCATTTGTCAAATCACTCATCTCTGTCAGCCAGGGTCCCCAAGAGATAACTATGTAGAAGACATTATCAGGTTTTTATCGAGGAAAACACCTTTACCCTTGCCTAGACAGGCACACTATGATGTTAGGTGATTTCATAATTGCCTAGAGACGTTCACCCAGTAGGGAACCACAACTCCGGACCCCTCATCTGGGAGATAGTGGGCAGAGGGGGAGATCCAAAGGTCCAAATGAAGCAGCACCGCTGCCCACACAAGGCCAGAGATGTCTGGCATGTAAGGATTTTGGTTTTATCATGGGAATGCCTAGGGGAAACAGATCAGGGACTGACCCAGGGAATTCCCTAAAATGTTGCCATGACCTAATCCTAAGCAGTTTGGCTTTACCAGGGGCACCCTGGGGCCAAGTTGAGAACTGACCTAAGGGATGGCCTGTGAGGTTGCCATGACCTCATTCTTGCACCTCCTGCCCACCAAGCCATCGTGGGGTGGGCCTCCTCCATGCCACCCGATTCCCCATTTGTTAGAGGCAAGGAAAATGGTCAGAAGTGTCTTGGGTCAGTGTCTTCATGGCCTTCTACCAGAAGGCTAATCTTTCTCCTAGAACTAATCCCTTCTCAGAAGTGGATACTGCTGAATGTCTCTTATCAGCACCTGATCCCCATAGGTGAGCTCCTTACTAACCTATACCATTAGAGCCCCAGGGGGTTAAGGACAACTCCCTGAACACACACCATCCTAGCTTTGGGGCTGCCTACCCTGAAGACCTGCGCTCAGGGAACTCAACCTCTATCCCGGCCACCACTCAGCCTCTTTGAGAAGTGACAGACGTAGATGGTACCATCCAAGTTCAGGGCCCTTTTTCAGTCATGGATATTTAGCAATGCACGGAAAGACTGGGTAAATTTTCTAAGGACCTGCCGATTTTGCTGACAGATTCCATACCCTGATAATGGCCTTTGATCCAACCTGGTGAGCTGTCCAGTTCATCTTGATTTCTTGCTGCACAGCAGTAAAAAGGGAGAAGGTTATAAGAGCTGCAAGTCGGGTCAAATTGTGAGGTCTTTGCAACTGAACCTGATGGTAGTCTGCCCACTGATGCATTATTAGGGGAGAGAAACCAAGCAAAAGTTAAACCTCTGGGCCATCTTAGTGGTATGACCAAGGGAATGCCCAGGCCTGTGAGTTAGGACAGGCTCAGGCCTGTCTGTCAGGGCTCTGTGGAACTCAGCAGCTTCCCCACACCAGTTTGTAGAGGCACTCTGCAAATACACTCATTTGAACCTGAGGCCAGAAAGGGCCAGATTATCCTGGGACAGTATTTATTAGACAGTCAGCTCCAGACATTGGGAGGAAACTCCAGAAAGTCGAAAAGGGTCTACGAATTTGTATAAGACAATCGACCTGCTCGGCTGACATAGGCTTTAACCAAACAAGATGAAGTCTAGGACAGATGGGATTTCAGTGAAAGAAAGGGCCAGCAAAAGCCATGCAGGCCCTAATGGATAAGGCTCACGGGACCCTGTAGAGCCCGTGGCACCTGGGGTCATCCAAAGAGTGACAGAGGCGAGTCTGAGCGCTTCAAGTGCCAATGACTAGAGCCCGGGGCAGAGCAGCGCCTTCCACAGCTGCTGGGTGTTTGCCAAGCTGCGGAGGAGCCATGGCACTGGAGGAGGGGCTGCCCTTATCCCCAGAGGGATATGAGCTCATCCACCCCCACGCTGGCCCAGGAAGAATGCCCAGTGGTGCCCCCAGGTGGCCTGTGTGGCCCCACACAAGGACATCCGATGTCTTGCCGGCATCTTGAGTAACTCTGGACATAGCAAGTGAGCCTTCCTGGTCCTGGGGCACCCCACTCAATTCTAACTCTTCTTGGGAGAGTGACCCCGCTCCTCTGTCGCTGTGCACCCTGAAGGAGGTACACAGTTTTCTCTGCTCCCACTCTGAACCCCGGCAGGGCCGGTCTTCTCCAAGCTGCCTTCTTCGCAGTAACACCAAAGTGCCCCCTGCCAGCTGCAGGAAGGGGACATACTCTTCTCCCTCAGCACCAGGCTCTCACTCAAATCTCTGGCAACCCCTGTCCTAGCTGCTCAGGACCTACCCTGCTTCCTACAATTCCTCTTAGCGTGATCACTGGTCCTAAAGGTACCTCTTCTTGGTGGCCTTCTCTGCCTCCCACTCCCACTGGCCGACTTTGGAAGTTGCTTCTGCTTTGTACAATTGTGGGTCCTCCGGCTTTCCTTACACAGACCCAGATGTTGTTGTTACCTTGCATCGCATTGGCTGTCTTCCCTGATAGGCAGTGTGGTGGCCAGCTCAGGAGCTCTTCATCTCCACTTCACCGATGAAGAATCCCAGGCACTGTGGACGGGAAGCCTCAATTCCTCGTCCATAAAATAGGGGTAAGAATGAGGACCGTCTCAGCCAGGTGAGGCAGTGCACGCCTGAGACCACAGCACGTGGGGGACTAAAGCAGGACAATCGTGGGTCTAAAGCCAGCCTGGGCTGCACAGAAAGTCCAAAAACCTTGACTCTTAACTTCTCCCTGTCTCTCACACCACGGCCATCGTGAGCAAGGCCACTCCCTTGGCCTGGCTCCCAAGCAAACATCCCGGTGCCACCACCCGGACTGGAGCCACAGTCCCTCCTCTCTGGATTACTGGAAAAGCCTTTCTTTATTTCTTCCCCTAGGAGAGAGGACGGATGTGGTCTGCTGTGATCACAAATCATGAAGTAGAGGCTCACCCATTTGGGGAAGTCCCAGGGGCCAGTCCCGGGGCAGTGCCAAGGGATGAGCCTTGTCCTGGAAGCCTTCTTGCCCGCTGGGGCATCTTCTGGCCAGGTCGGTGGGGGAATCCGCCTACGCCTGCCCTGTCCTGCACCCAGTCACTTCAGTGACCGCAGAATCGCAGTCAGGCTGGGCCGCTCCCACCCTGTCCCACCCAGTGGCTCTGCCCCACTGGGGTCCAGCGAAGGCTTCCAGCCTTCGAGCCTTGTGCCCTGCCCCGGCCACTTTTGCCACTGCACCTGCCACACTTCTTTCCAGATGAGCGACTCCCTGCTGTCCCTGGAACACAGCACCCACACCTCTGCCTCAGGACCTCGGTGCCTCTCTGCTCACCCCCTGCCCACAACAGCTCCCTGTCTCCTTTCCGCTCCAGTCATCGGTCTCCCTGGATGACTCTAACTAAAACAGTGCCCTGCCGGGCATGGTGGTGCACGCCTGTAATGCCAGCACTCTGGGAGGCTGAGGCAGGAGGATGGCAATTCAAGGCCAGTGTGGGCAAACTTTGTGACTTAGGAAGAACTTGTCTTAAAAAAAATAATAAAAAAGGGCTGGGGATTTAGATCAGTGTGAAGGCCCTGGGTTCAATCCCCTGTAACACACATGCGCGCGTGTGCGCGCGCACACACACACACACACACACACACACACACACACGGGCCCAGAGGGGCGTCAGTGGCTTCCTTGCGTCCTTAGGATTGAGTCCTGCTGTGACCCTCAGGGTGCTGCCCTTGAGGTTGGCCTCTTCCGCAGTTTATACAGCCAAGTGATACCACACCCTTCTCCTTGTTCCCTGTCCTCTGTTTTTCAGGGCTCAGATTAAATGTCACTTCCCCATGGAGCTGGCTCTCTTCTGCGCAGATGTCTCTGCCCACAGCTTCCTCGCTCCTGGGCTTTGTCCTCCCCAGCCATGGTCTCCGTGGGGCCGACCGCACAGCCCCACTTCTGAGCCACCCGCTCCTCACTGCCACTTGTCAGCTGCGGGGCGCAGACACCCCCCCCCCCAGACACACATCAGGACCCAGGTGTTCAGCACGGAGTCTTTCTTCACCTGATTTCAACTTAAGTTGTCAGGAATAAAATCTAATTTACACCCGACCTCAACTTCAAGCTTAACGTATCTCAAAGACAAACACCACCTGGTGGCGGAGACCCAGTGACCGGCGAAGTTAAAAGGTCCCAGCCAGAGGCCAGTGAATCAAAATGAAGGGCAGTTGCAGGAAAAAATGGTAGACATCTCAGACCTGCGAGAGGCTGACTTTCTCGGTATGTGCCTTGTGTCGAAATCTTGAAAGACCACCTAACTCAAGGCAGGAATGCCTCTTGATTGGAACTTCCGGCAAGCTTCCAAAATCAGCTGATTACTTCCCACGGATTGTGATTCAGAAAACCGGAGGGACCGAATACCAGCTGGTAAGTACAGTCGAAACACTGCTTCCCTTGTCAGGGCAAAACTGTGACCGTTTAGCTGCATAATTTAAACGGGCTTTCTTTTCTGATTCCAGAATTGGGAACACTTCATTCTCAAAGCAGAGCGTTTGCATGAGCAGAGAGGAAGGTTGGCTCGGGGGCTCAGAAGGGCTGGAAAAACAGGACCAGGAGACAGAAGCAGACTGGTCATTTTGAAGACACTGTCCTAGTCCAGGAACAAAGCAACAGTCGCTGATCCATCAAGATCACACTACCTTGTCTTGTGTAAGGATGAAGGCGGAGGCTACTTCACTGTCACAATGGAAACTGCCTCTTTTTTCAGAAAATCAAATAAATAGTTTCAGCTTGAAGAACTTTAGCATGAGTGATACCGTTTTGATTTTTAGCTTGCTGTTAGGACCTAGAGCAGAATCTTCCCAGGTGGGAGTCATACTTCACCTATGCCGCTATAAACATGGGTATGCGTGTATCTGTATTTTGTTTATTTGTAGTTGAGGTTGATTTTCTATTTATTTATTTATTTATTTGGTCTTTTTGAGACAGCTACGTAGTTCAGGCTGGCCTTGAATTTACGGTGGCCTCAAACTCACGGCGATCCTCCTGCCACAGCAGAGCTGGGATTCCAGGCCAGCGCCCTCATGCCCATGCGGTCATGTGATGTCTAACTCTTTGGAGAAGACACCTAGAAGGGGAAGAGCTCGCCTTTCCTAGATTTAACTGGCAAGTGTGGGCAGAGAGCAACGCCGGCCCTGGCAGCATCCTCTGCTCCGTCCCCTGAGTCCCCGCACGGCCACGCCCGGGCAGCAGGGAGCCCCGGGAATCACGCGCGGCGCGAAGTGGGTGCGCGGGGCCGGGCCAGGGTGCCCGGTAAGCCCACCTTGCCCTCCTCCTCCAGGGAGCCTCCCCAGGCGAGCGGGCAGCCAAAGTGCAGGCGGGGCTGCGCGGCGCGGGGTTGCCCGGGGCCACATCAGCAGCGCTCCGGGGAGGGGCGGCGGGCGGCGCGCCTGCGCGGCCTGCAATGTGGTCGGGGCTAGGGGCGGGGCAGGTTCCTGGGCAGGGCGGTACGCCTGCGCGGCGCTGCGCAGAGGGAGGGGCCGAGGGGCGGGGCGAGGTGGTGGGCGGGGCCAAGGCGAGAGGCTGAGGTGCCGGCGCCCGGCTGTCAGCGCGGGCCGAGGGCGCAAGGCGGCGCGCACGAAGGAGCCCCGCGGGATCGCAGTCCGCCCCGCTGCGGGTGTATGGCACCAGGTGAAGGCCGCCGGGTCCTGCCCCGGATCGCGGACGGGGTGGGGACCAGGTGCGGTCTCCTCACCCAGCCGCCTCCGGCGGGCAGGTGGTCACGGGGGGCGTCTCGGCGTGGGCGGCATGGGCGGGGCCCGGAGGGGCGGGGCCCGGAGGGCGGGGCCGAGCCGGGCTCGGGGCGAGCGGGAGCGCGGACCGAGTCCCGCTGGGTGCAGCCGCCGTGTTCCCGGGCTCGCGTCCTCGTCCGGATACCCGGGCCGTGCCGCGAGCCTGGAGCCCCCGTGCTCTGATTGGAAGAGGTGACACGTCTGTGTGCGTGTGACACGTACACTACGCTGAGCTGTGCTCCACGCATGGCATCCTCTGCTGAGTCTTACCACGTAAGTGTTAAAATTTGGGTACCCCTCACAGAAGACGGCCCTCGAAAGTGGCTTTTGGTGAATGCACAAAGTTTTGTGACTGTCGCCACCGCCCAGGGCATTTTCCTCACCCCAGAGAAGCCCTGTGCCCACGGACAGTGGGTGTTCATCTCCCCCGCCGCACGCCTTGGCAGCTGGGGATGCGCTAGGGTTGGCCCGGTGTGGACCTTTCGTATAAACGCGCTTTACCGTAGGTGGCCTTTCCTAGAGCACCTTTTGGGGTTCATTTGTGTCGTAGTGAGTATCGGTCCTTTCGTGTCTTAGAGTCGAGTGACACTAGTGTATCAGTCATCCCAGACCGCATGTTGTTCATCCGTTCCTCAGCAGCTGGGCTCTTTCTCCCTTTATCTTTTGAGTGTAATGCGGCTGTGGACATTTGTGTTCTTGTTTTTTGGTTTTATTTGCAGTGCTGAGGGTGGAACTCGGGGCCTGTTGCGTGGTAGATCGGGGTTGCACCACTGAGCTACGTCCCCAAAGATACAGAGATACAGATACAGATAGGTATAGATAGACGTGGACATAGATACAGCTAGATACAGATACAGATACTTCGGTTTTATTTCCGGTGCTGGGGATGGAGCCCAGGGGCTCTAGCACGCTAGACAAGCGCTCCACTACGGACATAGACCTAGAAGTGCCGTTGCCCAATGTGTAACTTTTTCAGAAACCGCCAGCCTGTACTGCGACACTACTTACCACCAAGGGGTGGAAGAAGAGTTCCAGTTTCCTTCACCAGCTCAGCAACCCTTGTTATTCTATCTGGCTGCTTTTGCCAAGATAAAATACCCACTTCGTGTCAAGTGGTATCTCTTCGTGGTTTTGATTTGCGCTTCTCTAATGGCTAGCAATAGCGAGCATCTTTCCAGATACTTGCAGGCCATTTGTGTGTGTTTTTGTGGAAAAAAAAATGTCTCTGCAGGTAATTTGCCCGTATTTTCATTGGGTTATTTGACGTTTTATTGTGGAGTCATATCGTTCATTTGTAGGGCGGAAAAAAAAAACCCAAAACCTCAAGGCTTGGGGATTGGCAGCGAAAAAGAAGTCAACCAACATGATAGCAAAGCCTATAATGCTTATCCGGGTGCTTGGGGCAAGTTCAATAAGTGCTGTTTAAGGGTATGACCCCACCTGTTAATTCTCAGCATCTTAGGGCCCCTTCCCATTTTCTGATGTATTGAGGGAAGGCGCAGAAGACAGAGTCCTCCCTAGAGCCGGGAGAGCTTGGTGTGAGAAGTCCCAGTTACTGCTTCGCATAGGCGTCCTACGTATTGGCAGCTCCCTGAGCAAGGGAGGAGCAAGCGGCAAGCACAGGTGACCCTTGAGAGTTTCACATGCCTCAGCAAAGCAGAGGGGCTTATTTTCCTCAGTCTGTGTAGCTTTTGTTCATACATGGGTGGAAAATAAATACTTTCCGATGGCCCTGAAGTTAATTGCCATTCAGGATGCTGCTGTGGGCATTGCACTGTTAATTTCTGAGAGCGCAGAAATTGTGCATAAAGCCTTTTGCAGCAAAAATGACTTCAAAAGAGTGGGCTCAACCCTAACTAAATACAGCATGGGAAAACAGAGACAGCTGAGGGTAGAGTGGGCATCACTGTCCACACGGTGGACACAGAGTGGACAGAGAAACACCAAGGGCAGAGCTCAGGAGGCTTAAGGCAGGCTGCCTGGCTAAACCAATCTAACCAGATTGTTGTTGAAGACAGGCCAAGGTCATCAGACCTCACCTGCAGGATGGCTGAGGATGAGGAGCCTGATCAGATAACCAGGTGTGGCTTTTGTCTAACAAAGAAGCAGGCTTCTTTGTTAAATGGAATTTTAGCCAAGCCCCTTTAATCCCAGCACTCAGGAGGCTGAGGCAGGAGGATTGCCGAAAGTTCCAGGCCAGCCTGGGCTCCATAGTGAGTTGAAGACCAGCCTGAACTCTATAGCAAGAGCCTGTCTCAAAACCCAAAATAAGTTCAATTTATGTAAACATTTGACCAAGAAACGTGGGAGAAACCTCTTGTTCATTGAATTCCCCTTCCCCCCGGGTGTTCTCCCTTTCTAACACTCCTTCCCGGGCCCAGGAATCAGCCTGGGATTCCTGTTGGTCATGATAATCCCTCAGGGAACTAATTGCACTGTTTCTCCAGTCTACTAAAATTGCAGTCAGGGCTGGGTGTAGCTCAGCAGCAAGGCTGGGGGTTTTGATCTCCATAAAACAAAATCCAACGAAAACAGAAGTTGAGATCAGAGCCATAAAGCCCAAGGAGGCAGGGTGAAATACTGTTAAACAGTGCTTTTCATTTTCTGGCTTAGGCCTCGTTAAGCCTCCCTCGCAGGAGGACAGTCCTGTCCCCGGGAGCCACTTACCTGGGAAGAGCAACCTCTCCTGAAGGGCCTATGTGCCCCACAGAGAGAGCTGGTGCGGTGTGCATCGAGTCAGTGAGTCCTGCGGGGCTGACGTGGGTGTGCGGAGGAGCCCTGCCGGCCTGCCTGGAGCGGGGCAGGTTCTCTCGCCCCAGGGAAAGGGCTCTCATTGCTCAGCACGGTGTTCACGGCGAGCCTCAGAAACAAATCACCATTCATAAACCAACAGTGTTTTCCTTGGAAATAAGTGAATCTCTGAAACAACTTTTAAGTGAGGGATCACTTCATTATGTAGTTTAACAGTATTCAAGTCCATTTCCTTGTTTTACTCCTTATTTTTTTGCTGTTTTTTTTTTTCAAGACGGACTCGCTGTGTAGTTCAGGCTGGCCTTGAACTCAAAGGCCTCCTGCCTCAGCCTCCCACATGCTAGGATTGCAGGTGCGTACCACCAAACCCAGCCTCTCAAATATTTATTGAGTGTCTAGTATGTAACAGGCACTAGGTTAGGCCCAGAAGTGAACAGAAGTGGGTCATTGATTTCATGGAGTTTGTAGCCTAGTGAGACTTGCTAAAGAATGGAAGAGTTGGGGGGTCACAGAGGAAGGAAAACTAATTGTGTGTGTGTGTGTTTGTGTATGTGTGTAGTACTGGGGATTTAACCCAGGGTTTTTGCATTGAGCTACATCCCCAACTTACTATTAATTTTTATTTTGAGACAGGATCTTGCTGAGTTGCCCAGACTAGTCTTGAGCTTGCAATCCTCCTGTCTCAGCCTCCCACAGTGCTGGGGTTACGGGTATGCACCACTGGAACTAATCTAGGAGGGCCAGGGGAGTGATGTGTAAGAGCTGAGAGCGTAAGTAGAATAACAAATAATGAAGTAAAAGGGAAGAGTGAGGACAAGTAAGATTGTTTCAGGCAAAAGGAACAGATACAAAGGCCAGGAGTTAAGAGCACGGCACACCGGGCTGGGAGTCTGCACACTCTACCTCCAAGTAGGTCGTTAGGTCAGTGTAGCGGGTTGTTTGACCACCATGCATAAACAAGAAGTAAAATAGAAAGCAAGAACCTGCCACACATAAATACTGACTAGATTGTGAGGGTCGGCAGGGTTGTGGCTTCTGGGTTTAGTTAACTTTATTAAAGAATTTGGAGTTAGAGGAAATGAGCTGTAGGAACTAGGCCGGTGGCAGAGTCTTACTCTACGCCTTTAATACTAGAAATGTTACAGAGTAGAAGTCACTCTGCTCTTTCTAGTAATACTTGTTTTCAGACAAAAAAAAGGTTTTATTAGATTTTTTTTTTCTTAGTTGAAGTCACATTAGTGACAGAACTGTGTCCACTTTTTTAATTTTGAAAGAGGGTTTCCCTTGTTGCTCAGTGGCCCAGGTTGGGCTTGAACTTGCCATCCACCTGCCTCAACCTTCCACAGGGCTGGGATTATAGGTATGCACCACCACACCTGTCTAGCAGTGTTCACTTATTTAAAAGGTAATACAGCAAAACATATTCTATTCTTCTGTTAAACAGTAGAGATGAGAAAAACAATAATAACAGAGACTTTGTTGTTTGGGGATTTCTCCTCCCAAAAAGTGCAGGGAAGTGGCAGTGCAGATTGCTTCTAGGAGTGGGCATTTGGACTGTGTTTGGACACGGCGTTCTCACAGAAGGTGGGTTTAGAAAAGTAGGGGGACGAAGGGAGTGAATTAGATTATATCAATCATGGGAGTCAACTGAAAATGGATTTTACTCCCAAGAAGGAAAAATGGAAGGCCTGTGTGCGCCCAGAAAACTTCCACCTGAGAGTTACAGTGTCAGGTTGTTGCCAGAGAAGGTTTGTGCTGTCACAGTACCGTGACGTCACAGGGCTTCACTGTGACACCCAGCTGTGAAGGGAAACTTCCTTCAGTGCTTGCTTCTGATAAGTGCAAGAGAAGTTACAAAAAATTCAGGGAAAGGTGGAGAGATTTAGTCTCTGGTCCAGGTTCCTAGTATATTTTTGAGATGTCCACATTTTGCTAATTTGTTCTGTAAGTAAGCTTACGTGCGTACGTATCTAAAAGTAGGTGCCAGAGTCATATTCTGCTGACATAGGGGTGGCCTTTAAAACTGCTCATTGAATTACGTATTTTTATGTTCATAGAGTCCTAGGTGAAGCAGCGTGCCGTAGAACTAAATCGAAACTGTTAGCTTGTGTAAATGTGTCCTCAGGAAGTGACTGAATATGCGAAAGTGCCATGCACAAGGCTGTTCATTGTCACAGCGGTGTAAATCGGCCAGGCAAATGTGCCGCCGCAGGAGCTGTTGTGTTCCCAGGGGTCGCGGTGCCCGCGTGGGCAGAGCTTCGCGCCCCCTCCAGTCTTGCAGGCTTCGAGCACAGGGGATCCGTCTCGGCCCGTTTCTCACCCAGCATCTTTCAAACCGTAGGGACGGATTTCAGGGTCTTCCTCAGTTGGGCAGGGCGGGGGCTGAGTGGCTGGGAACCCCTGGAAGCTGGGGTGCTCCAGGGCTGTGCTTTGCTTCTGCAGAACTCTCTCTATGGGGGTTTCACATGGGGCTTAGTTGGGCCAGGTGTTGCCCTGCATTAAAAAATCAGTGTCCTGAGCCC